TATGTATATATGTATATATATACATGTATGTATGTATGTATGTATGTATATATGTATGTTTGCATGTATGATTTCATATATATATATTTTTCTGTGTCTGTGTCTGTGAGTGTATGTATAAATCTGTTGTTGGTGTGTGTGTGTGTTTCTGTGTTTGTGTAACCTAAGTTATACACTTGTATATGTTATGTCGTATTCGCGTTGTTCCACTCTCTTGCCCATCTGTCGCGTGTATATCCTGTATTTTTTTTTGTTTCTGATTTGACTTGCACATTAGTAGGCGTCTATGTATGTTCCTTCCAGCTCCTTGCCCGCACGAGCTGGACGTACGAGTATACGCTACTATGTTGATTTTTGATGTGACCTTCCCATCTCAGGCTATTCTCAAGGTGGTCTTGTGAAGAAGGGGGGGGAATCAGCCCCCGCTATGGCTCAAAGCGAGGATGCAGACCGGCCAGTATTCAAGGTAGGAAATTTTTTGCCCTATAACGTTCTTCTGCATACATATCCGTCATGTTGCCATTGATTTCGAAAATCTGCCTGCAAGGTTACAGTCTAAATCTACTCGACAAGCCTGCTTTGAACGACATCAAAGACATGTATTGAATATTGGAGTGAAACCCCCGTTAATTTTGACTTTTTTTGTATTGACGCTGTTTTTTTTTGGCTTCCTTGCTTCGAATAAAAGCGTCCCGAACCGGTTAATAAGAACGACAAACCAAAGCCGACTGGTTCTCTCTTAGGACTCGATAAATTGGCACAGGTGAAGCGTAAAGAGAAAGAAGCATTAGAATGGAACACAAAGCGCTCTCGCACTACTATTGCTGGTATGTGCTCAGTTTTCAAATTCTGTTTTAGTATGTGCTCAGTTTTCAAACTCTGTTTTCTGTAAAACAACGGCCCTGCTGTAGTCAGGCAGCTCGTGAGTCTGCGTGTACACGTGAGTTCTTGATGACGTACGTGGGCATTTTTACGGGTATGTTGGCTACAATACTACATTGATATGTGTCCTGTCGAAGACGTGTCCGTCGATAGTCTTTATGCAGTCAAAACTCTCCCGATGCAACCTCAGATCTCGATGACGACGAGGAGGACGAATTGAAGCTAGAGACCCAGGCCACAACCAAAAGTACGTGTTGTTTCGGATTTCAACTAATACGTATATTGCTTTCAATCCTTTTGCTATTGAATCGAGTTGTACACTGTGAAGCTGATTGATTTTTTACTGCCGCCACAGATGATGATTCCTCTTTTAAAGCGCCGATGGACATGCCAGCGAAACGTAGCGGGGATGCAGAAGATCGCACAGACAAGGAGAACCCCAAACCCGTGCGCAACTACAGACACCAGGTGCAGGACACGCCATCGCATGGGGGCGGAGTTCCAGATAGTGTAAAAGAGAGAGTAAAGGAGAGGGAACGCGAGAGGGAGCGTAGAGAACGCCGCGGCGAGGGACATCGAGACCGAGATAGAGGGTCCAACAGAGATGGGCATGCCGGTAGAGATAGAGATAGGTACGTAGATGGGAGAAGTAGCCGGCGATCGCATAGCGCGTCGTCGTCGAGAGATAGGGACAACAGTGGGAATAAGGGAAGGAGTCGGGATGAGGACGAAGACGACCGAGATTCCCGGAGGATTAGGTATGACCCGCGGATGTGTGGAGTTTTATGTTTGTTGGTTATCGGTTCGAATATCCGCGGTTTGCTAAGCCACCACTTCGACGGAGAGTATGCATATGATACGTTGAATATTATAATAAGCTCATATCTAGAATACTCGCTATGACATCTTACATTAATAGCCCAATCAGAATCAATAATGCCATACTTTCGTTTCTAGTCGAGGCAGTGGCCGAGATAGCGACCGTGACCGAAGCACCAACAGGAGTACAGATAGAGACAGAGAACGCGAGCGCGAGAGGGGAAGACACAGGAGCAGTGGCGGCTCTAGTCGCTCACACGACAGGGAGAGCGGCTGGTCATCCTCGAATCGGGACCGAAATCGATCGGATAAGACTTTCACCGATATACAGACCCCATCTCGATCTGCGTGGGATGATGTTGAGGGTGCCACTCCCCGTGATACGCCGAGAGGTATGGTCTACGGGGAATTTCCGTTTGAGTACCCACATTTGCGGTATCTAACTTGGCCATTCGGCTGCGGACGAGTTGCATGTGGAAGAATCACGGTGGGATCGGCTATGTGTACAAATATGTGTTTTGGTCGGTGACACGAACTTAAAGATTATTGGGAGTGCTAATCGGCACAATTTTCTTCCATTCAACTCTCGGAACATACAATGACTGTGGCATGCCTATCCTGCTCACGTTTTGCATATCATAACACGCACCTCAGGTGGACGCTTTACCCCTCGCGCCACACCCAGAGATGGAAGTAACCCCACTCCCAGGCGAGACGATGAGTATTCGAATTTACGAACGGGTAGCACGAGGAATGGCGACAGTGTCAATGCTACACCTAGACCAACACCGTCTTATAAATACAATTATTGGGCAGAGGATAAGAAAAATACGGGAGCTACCCCCAGGCTCTCCACAGGACGCTCGGACACAGGTATGCGTGTGCCGTATGGCTATAATGCCTGGATTGTATGAATATTTAATATGGCGTCTACATTGCTCTGCGGTTGACCTTAATGTGAACAACTTCGCGTCGTTTCCTCGTGTACTGATATCAACGGGCACGTGAGGACGAGCTAGGTAGGTCTACACAGTATGTCCGTGATAAGGCCAGAGCAACATTGGGATCAAACATATACTTTTTATCAGCGTACCGATACATGATTAAATATATTTATATATATTATATTGATGTGTGTTATAATAAGCTTATTCATTAATCAATATAAATACGAATAATGTATATATATATATATATATATATATATATATATATATATATATATATATATATATATATATATATATATATATATATATATATATATACATATATATAAAATATTATTTATATATATACATACATACATACATATATATATATATATATATACATATATATATATGCGTGTGTGTATAGACATATGTATATATATATATATATATATATATATATATATATATATAAATACACACACACACACCATATATATATATATATATTGTGTGTATTTATATATATATACATATATATGTATATATATATGTGTGTGTGTGTGTATAATATATATATAGATATATGCATATGCATATGTGATATATATATATATATCGAGATGTATGCGCAAGCAGTATTTTAGATTGAGAGCGTTGTGTCCCCTTCAGCTTTGCATTTACTTCACCTGTGTATGTTCATATTGTTTTTTATACATCACTTTCTCTCAGATAGTGTTCAAGGAGAGGAGGATTCGACCTCAGCACCTGGAGTGGGCGGCGAAGTTTTCAAGACCGAAGTGGAGAAGCGCGCTTGGGAGGAAGAGCAAAGGCTGCTCGATCGCATGTGGTATCAGAACGATGAGGGTGCAGATGTCAATAATGATCCCTTCAATAGCGCGGTATGTGTCTAACCGCAAACAATTGATTGTATGGTAGCACACAGGTGGCGACGTTGGCTAGTCCATCTTCTCATTAGGAACTGAACTTGAACAGGCTAATCTGTGAATGTTAATTGCACCAGTTGCACGCAACCGGGCCAAATTCTGTTCGCATATTTTTAGAAATGTCAGCAAAGTAAAATAAGTTATTTGCAGTGCAGCTTGCGTGGTGAGCTGGTGCGGTACACCTGTGCTATATCTCAGTAGTGTCGCGCCCTCACACTCACATGTGCATGCTTAAACTGCCGCTGCTGGAGTGATCAAAAGAAAGTATATTTGGGGATCATTAAGGAGCTAAATGGCTCGTTGATATTTTGTTTCTTTGATCTTTTACAGGAGTTTCTAGCGCAAAAAGAAGCCGAAGTAATTCAGCGGGCGAGTAAACGACAAACCATCCATCAGAAAAAACGAAATGCCGACAACGACAGATGGGAGACGAATAGGTTGCTAACCAGTGGAGTTGTTTCTAAGGTATTTGAGCTCTTTGATTTCAACTGCGGGCTATAATCGTGCTGTGTTAGTTGACAAAAGAAGTATCAACAACAGCAGACGATGTAAGCGAGGTCAAATACTGAATACAGAAGCGAAATAACTGTTGTTCATAAACCGAACGTTAAATCTCAATTTCTTGGCGGGAATCTGGCCAGCATAATTTTCCTTGTTCATTCGAGACCCCTAAATTTGCGTGGCATACAAATATGGATCCACTACACACACAGGTACAATACGATGACGATTTTGATGACGAACTCGAAGTGCGGACGCATCTTCTGGTGAAGAATATCCTACCTCCGTTCCTGGACGGACGTATCACGTTCACCAAACAACCAGAACCTGTTATGCCTGTCAAAGATGCGACCAGCGACATGGCTGTTGTGGCTAAAAAGGGCAGTCAGGTATATTTTCTTTGTCATTTATCAATCGGAATGCTGGTGATTGTGGATGCAGTACTCACTGTTTTCACATCTATTCAGCACTGTGCCAGTGCATGATCTTGTTGCTACCACATTCATTGTGTAGCTATTGGTCGAAATACGTAGTTAAGTAGGTCTGGAGCGGCACATATCGCGATATTCCACCAGTGAGTGTATTTATACACAGATTCAACGTGCAACATTTATCTCCTCTGACGAGTTTATTGATCATTGAACTGTGTGCTCAAATGTTCAATCTACAGCTTGTACGAGAACGCCGTGAAATGCGGGAGCGGCTGAAAGGACAGAATAAATATTGGGAGTTGGAGGGTAGTAAGATAGGTAAAGTAATGGGTGTGAAAGAAACGGAAGAAGAGGATCCAGGCAACAAGGAGGGCCAAGAGGAGAACTTCAAAGCGGAAAGCCAGTTCGCTGACCACATGCAAACCAAGGTTTGTTTGGTGCGGAGTGTTATGCGCGTCCTTTCGGACTCATTGTCCTTCGGTTAAATTCATTTAGCTTCTGAGCTTCATCTCGAATTATAATTGCTCGGTATCAGCTTGGGAATGATGCCATGTAAAACTTCAATGCTTCGTTTCGACAGTGTATGATAATTTTCGTTTTCATGCTTGTAAGTCGGAGAATTGACACTCACTTCACTCCAAATTGCTGAAAATCTCTTGCAACATCATTTTCGCGACAGTTTAAAAACTCTTTTTTTCTTTTCTTTATATTGACCACAGAATGTGGCAGTGTCCCATTTTGCCATGTCGAAAACTGTCAAGCAGCAACGGCAGTTTCTGCCCATCTACTCTGTGAGAGAACAGTTGTTGCAGATTGTGAGAGACAATCAGATCGTGGTCATCGTAGGAGAGACTGGAAGTGGAAAGACAACACAGCTTACACAGGTGAGTGCTTCTCCTATTCCCGGCAGTTATGAATTTGCCTGAGATTGTGTATTTTCTCATTGCATGGATGACCCCCACTTGCCTTGCTCCATGGCACTGACGGATGGAAATGTCGCAACCAAGACACTTTGATATTACATCGCCTTCAGAACATCCCAAGTTCGAATATATAAAACTCCCTTCTCACATGGCATTCTACTATCTCGTCCCCTTATAGTATCTGCACGAAGAAGGGTACGGCAAATTCGGAATGATTGGCTGTACACAACCACGAAGAGTGGCGGCGATGTCCGTGGCCAAACGAGTGAGTGAAGAAATGGAGGGCAATCTCGGCGATACAGGTAGGATTCCCGTCGTACATAGATACGTGCTCGTGCATTGGCTCTGCTTGTGTGTGTGCACAACTGGGTATTTTTTTATCCAGACATTGACTGATATTCGGGATACGCTAGTTTCTGTTTCATCTCTCTGCTCGTATACGAACACCCTCTGATCTTAGCGCCATGGTCGTTGTCTCCTTTCACCCTTAGTCGGTTATAGTATCCGCTTCGAAGACTGCACGTCGAGGAATACAGTAATCAAGTACATGACAGACGGAATTCTGCTGCGTGAAAGCTTGAACGAAAGCGACCTGGAACAGTACAGTTGTATTGTTATGGACGAGGCCCACGAACGTTCGCTGAACACGGTAAAAAAACAATTCAATTGATTGTCTTGGTATGATTGTATCTGTGTTTGCACTCATTATGGGCGATCGACTTGATCTTGACGAATGAGCCAGCGATCAAAGCTGATGCTTGAAAATGACAGCTGAATAACTAAAGTACCGATTTCTTGTGTAATGTAACTAAATGTTACTTCCCCATTATTTCACAGGACGTGTTATTCGGCATCCTTAGAGGCGTCATTGCTCGCCGCCGTGATCTCAAGCTGATTGTCACCTCCGCGACCATGGACGCCGATAAATTTAGTAACTTCTTCGGAAACGTCCCGATTTTCAAAATTCCGGGACGAACCTTCCCCGTTGATGTAATGTACGCCAAGTCCACAACAGAAGATTACGTGGACATGGCAGTCAAGCAAGCTCTAACAATACACTTACAATTCCCTGTGGTATGTTGATTTTGAAATCTCCACCTTGTCATGTACTTTTCGAGATTGCTCATGTTCTAAGTACCCGTAATCCGTTCATTGCGCGAAACAGTGCTATTGCGTAGTACTTCATCCACTAGGATGTTTGGAACGCTCTCGGTAGTGTGCGACACTATATATTGGCACGCTAATCTTTGATTGCTCCCCGAATGAGTTCACATGTTGTCCAGATACTTTCAGAACTTTTTGTTTTGGCAACTCTTTGCATAGTACCAGACATCGTCCGGCCGTATTCGCTGGTTTCTAAAAATCATGTTTCTGTTTTCTCAGGGAGATATTCTAATATTTATGACCGGTCAAGAAGATATTGAGACCACCTGTGAAGTTCTCAATGAGAGATACGAGGGAGTGGCGGATGAAGGAATACCAGAAATGTCTGTCTTGCCGATTTATTCGCAGTTGCCTTCCGACCTTCAGGTAATAGGGGTTTGTGTATGCATCATCCGTTCGCTCGTATTGTCTGCGCTATAAACATATCGCAGGCTACAATCTCTTGGCTACTTGCAGCTCAGTGATGTGACTATGTGTCCATTTGGGTAGCTCAGTTTAATCACCACGCGCATTCGTGAGCATGCTCGTATATATCAACAACGTCTCACATTGAAAGTTAAAATTTCGGTGCATGGATAAACGATAGGAGTCCTCGTTTAGCAGTTTTGTTTTGTTTTTTATCTGTTCGAAACTTTATGTCATCTCGCGAGGAAGTTGAATTGGAATTTTGTATTCATCTTGATTTAACATTCTATTCATCACAATTCTACAGGCGAAAATCTTTCAGAAGGCCGAGAACGACGCTCGCAAAATTATTGTAGCTACAAATATCGCAGAGACGTCGTTAACCGTCGATGGTATTCTTTACGTAATCGATTGCGGCTACTGCAAATTAAAAATATATAACTCGAAGATAGGAATGGATGCCCTCTCGGTCTTTCCTGTCTCCCAGGTATGTCTTGCTAAAATATCCACTGTGCTCATCCGATTGGCGAAAAAATTCTTGGTGAAAATATTTTCTCACCAAAAGTTAAGGAAACATCTCCCTCGTGAACAAAGTATCGTTGGAATGCACCACCTGTGTGTGGATTATTATATGTTGTGACGGAACTTTCAGCTCTACGTAGTCCCCTTGCAATGTCTTTGATAGTCAAAGGTGATCTTCTCCATATAAAAGCTGCCAGCTCAGGAAGGCGGGGTTTTATTTGTCTGTTCAAGCGTGTAGAATGCAACACTTGCACGTATCATGGGCAAATTAAGCGCAGTGCAGAATTGATTTCTGTGTTTCTTAGCAAATTTGAATTGTATCCCCAATTCAGGCCAATTCAAATCAAAGAAGTGGGCGTGCCGGGCGAACCGGACCAGGCACAGCCTTCCGACTTTACACAGAACATCAATATAATACAGAGTTATTAGCGAACACCGTGCCGGAAATACAGCGTACGAATCTGAGTAACGTTGTACTGTTGCTGAAAAGTTTAGGGGTCGACAACCTGCTTGAGTTCCACTTCATGGATCCTCCCCCTCAGGTGTGTATCATCGGACAACTTTATTGTTCACTTTATATCTCCTCCCCCACATGTGAATACATTGAACTTTATATAGCTTCTATAGTCTTGTATCTCCGTCTCCACAAGACAATATACTAAACTTTACTCACCATTGTCCGCCTTATATCTTCTCTTTTACAGGACAATATACTGAACTCCATGTACCAGCTATGGGTGCTGGGTGCGCTCGACAACACGGGTGGGCTGACCGGCTGCGGGCGGCGAATGGTGGAGTTCCCTGTAGACCCTGCGCTGTCCAAGATGCTGATTGTGAGTGACGAGCTCGCATGCACCACAGAGGTATTGACCATAGTGTCCATGCTGAGTGTGCCAACGGTCTTCTATAGGCCGAAGGGGCGAGAGGAGGAGAGCGATGCTGCGAGAGAGAAGTTCTTTGTGCCCGAGAGTGACCATCTAACCCTGTTGAATGTGTACAACATGTGGAAACAACATGGTAAGCTATTTCATTGTTGTAAGCGGTATACATCAGTGCCTTGTAGATTTCTACATCCTACAGGCAAGCTGTGTGGATATATTATTTGTACTTTTTGTTTATAGATGTGTTAGCAGAAACTATGTCTCTGCTTGAATGGCCAATTCTATCAATTGTCTGATGCTACTGCAGTATGTGGAAGCTGTATTACATGAAAAATGTGGCTTTGATTTTATAGTCTTATTGCATACTACGTTAATTTCAATTTTCACTTTGTACGATCACAGCGTACTCGGCCAAATGGGCCGCTCAGCACTTTTTGCACGCCAAAGCTCTAAGGAAGGTCAGGGAGGTCCGTCAGCAATTGGAAGATATTACAAAGTCTCTCAAAATAGAGATTGTAACCTGTGGCAGGTGTGTGCATACTCTGCTCGATAAATGCAACGGTGCAGATAGTATCCTTCGGGTGTTTTTTGTATATTAATTGTATGCGTGGCCGTTGCATATTCTTTTTTACTTTACAATAGAAATCGATCCGGCGGGATCTGTACTTACAATGCACTTGGACATGTGCCGGTAATTCGGATGCCGGAAGACTTGCACAGCCGCCTCGAGGACGATTGCGAGTGTCAATCAGAATCCAATAGCAATTCAGGCATACCTAAAATTTTCCTATCTATCACATTCCCTATATTTCCCAACTGATCTATTAGTACATCTTAATGACTATGAATATCCCACTTAACGTCAATTGTTAACCTCTGTGCTGCTTCCATCATCAGTAACTGGGATGTGGTCCGCAAATGCATAGCCTCGGCTTACTTCCACCAAGCGTCGCGTATCAAAGGTGTCGGGGAGTACGTGCACCTGCGCACCGGAATGCCCTGTCATCTTCATCCAACATCGGCGCTGTATGGGATGGGCTTCACACCTGATTATGTCGTTTACCACGAGCTGATAATGACATCTAAAGAATATATGCAGGTAGGTGTTCCATTCGGATTAGTTTAAATACACGAAATTTATATCTGCATTTCTCTTTTTTGGCTTGTGCCGTCGTAAAATATGTTAGCCATGATGCACTGCTGCCGGCGTCATTGCACTTTGCCGCTATAACTTGGTTGGCAAACCCGTTAGTCGTACCAGGTGCTGTGGCTCTGCCCTATGCCATGTGTGATCCCTCTATCTGGCTACTTGAAGTCGATGAGAAATGCAAGAACTTCAAGTTGTTAGTAAAAGCTGGCATGGTTTCTCGACACATGAACATGTACATTTTTGGTGGATTTTCCATCGACTTCTTATTCAAAACCCTCCAAACTCTTCCAATTTAAAGTGCGTGACCGCAGTGGATGGCGAATGGTTGGCGGATCTGGGTCCCATGTTCTACAGTGTTAAGAAGACCGGTAGGACCGCTCTGGTATGTAGAGTGCTTACGTAATATATTTTGACCGAATATATACGTTGCCAAGGTCGCCATTGCGAATATGTCATGCATATTCGATCGGGTTGTTTCGCTCCCCTGTAATCTACCTCGAAGGAAGCGTTGCGAGAACTAAACCGAGGCTGTGGGCACACTACTTCCCCTTAATTACTGCCCTTATATAGTTCGTGTACTCTCCACATACACAGTTTGAATAATTTTGCTGCCTACATATAATTATTTTGCTGACTACATATTATTTGTATAATTCTGTCGCCTATGTATACGTTGTCTAGTGAGTAGTAGTACGGCAGTATCAACGTGTAGGCTGTTTTCGTTGCTTGTCGCTACTGTGGCGGCCGAGTTGCGGACTGTTTTGTTTTTCTAGGAACTCAATACTATTGTTCTACAGAGCTCGCTGATAGCTTACTCACTGCACAATGAAAGTAGATTGCTCATATGTTGTACATGCATCGATGCGCTTCTACGTGTGAAATTGACATTTTTAATTTTATTTTGTCCAACTGTATCAGTCGCGGTATAAAGAGGAACACGAGAGCCGATCGACGATGGAGAGCGAGATGAAGGTTGCGGAAGTTGAGATTGCGGAGAGACTCAGACTGAAAGAGATTGCTCGCAAGAAGGCCAGCAAGACTGGGTATGGGTCAGAAGCTCGCAAACGTCGGGGTAGACCGATACCGCTGCTTTCGCATTCTCTTTACGTTAAAAACTGCTTACATGTAATCTTAGAGGGTGTGCTGATGATTGAATACGCTAATACTCCCGTTGACATCGAACTTCCAACATCTCAGGAAAATGGCTACCATTGGCAGCAGCACCCCTGCGTCGGCAAGGCGGAGTGGGGCTACTCCCCGCAGAACATTCGGAGTATAAATCTATAAAGAGTGGTACGTCATAAGTTTATGCATTATACACACCCAGAATCTGTGAGCAATCGTCCTGGATTCACGTGTCCGTCTTCTTCCCGGAGTTAAAGGCAGGGAATCCCTCTACCATTATATGCCTGTATAGGTTATAGGTTCTGACGCGTGGGTTATGCCTACAAGAATTTAGACGGCCTAAATGTAATCACTATAGGTGATCTTCAACTCGTATTGCTGTTTTGTTTGATATCTGTTATTCAATGGGCATTGCTGTACATCTCACTAGATTTGGTTTAGTTGTTACATCAAGTACTATATCAAACAGTGTGCCTCTGATCGACGTCTCAGAGCAGACCACTGCATAGACCTCAGTGGACTGTTTAAACTGCGTCGTATACTAATGCGGGAATCAAGATTACGGATCTGAACACCCGTTCTCCTCATCTGCTACACCACGTCTTACCACTACGTACCGAGCCAGAACCCACTTGCCAGATCAATGACTAGCTCTTTTGCTGGTAGATGGGGAAGGGTGTGTATGTTAATCGGAGAGGATGTGTTTGTAATCGGATGGTGGAAATCTGTGATTTCTAGATTGTTTACGAACGAGTATGCCACGTGATCACATCAATTGTGTTATGATTTCGCTGTGCTCGTTCGTGCGTGCCAGCACTACGATAACTGGCGTGCGAAAAACTGTCGCACATCTCTGTCCTTCTGTTCTGTGGTTTGGCTAATTTTAATCGAAGATGGAACACAAAAGTGTTTTCTAAAGTCACCAGCTTCACACGTAGATACGATACGATTTCTTAACTCTCAAATGAGAATATCTCTGAATACGATACGATTCCAACAATTTTTCGGTAGAAGCTTGTGACGGCGAAATATATACCTGTTGGTAGGTATTGCAGTGAATCAGAAGCATTTTTTTCTATTCAAGTTTCTCCTATCAAGGGCGTGACTGTGATTTTATTTGGCACAATTCACCATGAGCAATACAATATTTGTCACTATATGCTATCTAGCAGAACCCATTTAACATCTGCATACCCCAATGAGCGATAATACATTTTATCATTTAGAGCAATAATCTACAAAGGCCGACAGGAGATGTGACATGGATGCCACAGTGGAGTGTGAATGGTCGTATTCGGTTCAATGAGAGCATCACATTGCCACAAGGTTCTTTTTGGCAACTACGTATAGCATTCGGTTGGAGTTTAGCAGTTGCAGATCGACACTGCATGCTAGAGTAGATATTCACTCCAATAAAACTACAATTAGCATACCTATGTGAAGATTGAATCGATCTCCTTTTCGCGGAGAGACACTCTTCAACCGAATTTCTTTATTTTTAAAGCATAATATTTTTATGGTCCCGGATTGGGCGAATCTCGGCCCGTTATAACTGGCCCCCACACAGTGCTGTTCGATGCATTCCTGAACAAATTTGTAGTTATGTTTGCTTTATGTAATAGTTCGTAGTGAATACGCTGCTGTAGGTTTTTAAACGGAGTCTATCCGCCTCAGTCGCGTCAAGCACTCAAGGTGTCCTGACCACAATGCGGCCTATGACTTCCAGGCAGTCGATGCGAGCGAGGAATATCCATCGTATATAAAATCCAAACCCCACTATTGCGGTTATAGCTCACAACACTGGGTATGGACATACTTCGAGGTGTCGCTCAGTCCGCGAAATGGCATATTGTAGTAGTAGCATCCATTGGGGCACACCAAACTCTTTGTCGACGAGATGTGTATACATTCGCGACCGATATGTGACATACAGTGTGTTCTCAGATATCGTGCAATGATGTTTGGTCTATGCCAGGCTGTGAATATGCCTGTTGATCACATCCGCAATATAGACATCGGACTATGCACCTCAAGAGTGTAATTTGAAGTCACTCATAGAGCTTGTCGTCTCATGGCAACAAATCTGCAATTCTATGATTTTCGATGTCTCAGTGTTTGATACCACGTCTCGATAATGGCCATTCTCTCAAGTCCCAGCATACGTAAACTCTATTTTGGCCTCATCCATTCTCCTGCGCATCCGCAAGTTTCCTAAAAGTCTGTCCTAATTTCCTCGGAATTTTGATCCTTTCTTCGCTGTTCTGGACTTGCAAATTCAAAGGTCAGGTGACTTTGGCTATCCTGCCCCTAAAGATACAATCTAATACAATATAGCAAAACGCCTTCAGAAATCAGTTGCAGCTTCCACAATGAAAAATCCCACGAGCACAGCAGGTAGGGATAAGAGAGAGCCCCACATCACAACCGGACCCACGACTTCTTGCTTCACATTGTAGTGGTTTGCAAACACGAAGGAAGCGGTGCCTGAAGGGATGAACGACTGTATAATTATTGACTTGAATTTTTCACCTTCCAGTCCAGAGAGTATGGCACATACAGTCATGAGAGCAGGGGCTACGGCGAACTTGAGGAACAGCACGAATAGTATTTGTAACAGCAGGTTACGAGGAGGAACAAGCGATTGCATTCGCATGAAGTATCCAACGTTGAAGAGACTCAGTCCGTATACCGAGTCTGCGAACCAGCTAAAGAACATATCCAAAAATAGGGGCATGTCCTCATTTGGTTTGAAATAATTCCATATGCTCGACCATGCCACACCTCCGATCACAGCTACGATGACTTTGTTGGTTATTACGCTTCTAATAACATTGGCCACTACTGATATAGAGCTTCTCTCACTCAATATGCTCACATTTGACGGCCTGCGTTGTGGTTCGGACTCCTGGTCTAAATCGAATTGTTCACTGGTACCTGCAACATCTATAGTGTCCGTAACATCTGACTTGGATTGTCGCAAATACGTATCACTCGCTTCAACTTGTTTATCCTTTTCAGTCGATGCCCTTTGCGGTGTATTGTGTTGACCGCCAGTGTCCGAATTCAGTACTGCGTCGATCTCATACAAGACGAACACGATCGGGAACAGGAAGACCACCTGCAACATCACAATCACAAACTGCAGCGCTTCCAGATCTGACCCATACATTCCTACCATAACGGGCACGCCCATTACTAACGCGTTGTTTAGAGCGACTGCATTTGTAAAAGTAACCCCCCAGACAAGCACGGATACCTTCGGATTGTTCGCACCGCCGAACGGTACGATATTGAATAGGGCGGGCATGCTAAAGCTAAGGAACATCGCCATTGCTGTGAATACTCCTACACATAGCACCAGCTGCAGATCTATCTCGTAGATGTTTGTGGTGGCTACAGCATAGTAAATCATGCTCGGCATTGAGAAGCCCATGATAAATGCCCCTATCCCTTCATATCCTTTCACGCTGATAATTTCCCTCGCTGCTGATATGTAGCCACAGAGCATGATCGCGTACATCGCACCGCATATTTGTAAAACATTGATAACAGTCTCTCCTAGTGAATCGGACATTGTGAAGCGTTCATTTGAGTGTGGTAGACCTGTAATCGATTATTCTATGAAATCACCAGGAATCCAGGATCCATATTACATATTTATTACAATTAGCAATTTCTTTTGCCGATGATATTTGAATGATCTTGCCAATCCGACCGACTCATGCCCCCCCTAGAGAGAGAAATTCTGGAATTGTCGCTGGATTAAAAATGGATTCTCAATACCAGAGGACAAATCATTTCTGAAGACAGTGAAGAGGGCCATGCATATTTAAATTGCATTCGTTCACGGCCCACTCTGCAATCTGGAATCCCGATTCTGATAGGAGATGCTGCGTTTTCTATTTATTTATTTATTTATTTTAAAACAAATTGACCGCCTGAGTCAGTGCAAATAGACCAGCTAATAAATAGCATCATTCCGCATTCGTTTACCTGGGTCAGGACTTTGGGACTGAGGACTCAGGCCGCCAGCCGTCAGCCTCGTCAGCACTGAGCACTGAGCAGTCAGGCCCGGTCAGCACTCAGCAGTCCGCAGTCCGCAGTCCGCAGTTAACACTCCGCAGTCAACACTCTGCAGTCAACACTCCGCAGTCCATATGTAGCACTCAACAGTCAGCAGTTCAGTACTCCGAAGTCCGCACCCAATAGTCAGCACTCAGCACTCAGCACTCAGCACTCAGCACTCAGCACCCAGTACTCAGCACTCAGCAGTCAGCAGTCAGCACCACTATCTCGAGAGAGCGAACAGCCGAACACTACTAGCGAAAGAAATAGGCGTGTACTTATGTAAATGAAGAAAAAAAAATCGAATGCGACAGTATCACCGCTAACTGGGCCGGTGCGAGCGGCGCTCCTTGTTAAAAAAAAACTTAGCTTCCCTTTTCTAACTGCCGAGCTCCAACACTTGGGTTTTCCCTACTACCTCATAGTTTCTAGCAGACTAAACTAGTATGGCAGTCTCTGAACCGCTTCTAACCCTAGAACTGTATTATAAATCACTGATAAGATGTATAACAAAGTTTAGTCTTTGAGAAAAAGCTTCATATGTTTCTTTAGGTTATGGGCCTATTTTTGAGATAACTGACAAGACTCTCAAGCACTCAACATACCAATAACGGCACGGCCTACGATAGTGATAATATTGATCTCTGGGAATAGGATATGAAACCTGATATGGCCTTCCGATACACTGTTGATGATCTAACCTTACTGCTCCTAACTTCTTTTCAGAGATTTCCTATATATGAACATTCCAATCAAACATATGCTGATAAAGCTAACACTCCCAAAGCCGAGCACAACAATGTGCTCCAGAATTAAGTTGTCGATGTGGAAGAATTTATCGCACGATTATGCTCTGAGGGGGGGGGTGGGGGAGGGGATCAAAAATCTATAACGCTGCTCATCTCGAGTATGATATCAGCCCTACACTTGACAGTAGGTCTGGCCTAGTACAGTTTGATTGGTTCTCATCACAAATTTTACCCAAAACAAGATTAGAACTCGTGATCTTGATTATGAAGACAGTTAGCTAAAGGACCAAACAATACAACCTAGTACAAAGTTGGTTGGTTCTTATATTCACCTAATTTACTTCAATATGGTTGCAGCTACTTATCCTGCTTAGGATCTAGGGTAGAGGAGTGAGTATTACACACGTAGTGATAGTGCAAGGCTTTGTAGTGCTATGCAAAGCTTCCGGTTTGATCTTGCTATGCCTATCGGGTTAAACAATGCTGGTAGTGTATTTGGATTTAATGTCAGTATCCACTTTCTATATATATATAAATAGCCCCCATATCAACAGATGTTTCCCTGTGTATTATGGTAATATTAGTATGAGGGTGCCGATATCAATTGACATAGAAGACACGAGAAGTTCAAAGAAAGCATTTAAGGTATTTCTATGTATCAGACTCACACGCTTTCAGTATGGTAAGCCATGGAGATTACTCGCAGAAATTTATGAAAGCATCTATCATTTGCTTATCCTTAATATTGGCCGATCCTTTCAGTTGTTCGAACATTTTCAGTATTTCTACTGTACTCCTTAATTAAGAAATAGACGTCAGCACTATCTGTGTCTCAATAAAGTTTGTTTTAGTGTAATCTCGCTGCAAACGCTCAGTTTTGCATGCTGCTTGCGTTAGGATAGGGATAATATTATTTATTTCAAAAATGGCAAATATGTATGATACAATGTATGAACATATGGTATGGCTCTCATAGTCGCTGTAGTGGTTCAGGAAAGATTGATGGGAAGAAGTGGTCAGTAAATTCCCGTTTGAAGCTTGGGCCAAGTGAGTCGACAATGGAAGATATGCGCTGAGTCAATTCGGGCCGGTGTTGACAAAATACTGTTATTATCTAATGTTCCATATATTCGCTTGCTGACCTACTAAGTAGAGTACCCAACTCTGTGGTACGGATCGGGTCTGCGCCGTGTAGTGCCGCGGAATGGGTTAGTGCAGAGTACGAAATACCGAGAAGGACCAGGTTATCCGTCATAATCCGGTCGAGAAGCGAGGATGGGGGTATGCCAATGTCGCACCAAACCATGGATGAATTCGGTATGTGTTGGCTGGCCTGGATCGGAAGTATCATGGTCGAAACCAACAAGCGCGATGATTTGGTATGAACCGATATTTGGAAGTAGTATTTCAACAGCGTGATTAGCTGGGGTATGGGGAACATCTGTTGATGTGTCAGGAACGGGTGAGGGTACGGTGGTTCTTCAACATGCTGGAGAAAAGATCCAAGGTGTTCGTGGAGGGTCCAGATGCCGTGGAAGTCGTGGCACTCCTGTAATTGCTGAAGGAGGTCAGGGCCAATCTAAAACCCTAAACCCTAAAAGCGTCGAATCAGTTGTTATATAAAGTGGCTGGTAGTGAACTTGTGGCTACCGGGGTAGACAGGGCAGAGACAGCCGTCGGTGCGGTAGTCGATAAATGTGAACATGTACGTATTCGTTGCAATCATAGCACAGAGCCGGATTGGTGTAGACTCGAAACAGCGGTTGAAGCTGTCGTGTCTGGCTGTGTCTCGGTTTGAGGTTGGCGGTTTACCCATAACCAGTTGGTAGTAGTATTGGCGCCGGGCCATTGCCGCGATCTCCTTGTTGGACCAACGTTTTGCTGAGTTCTTCCTGATGTCGTCACAGCGTTGGCGGAGGGCTACATGGTCGGGTGTACGCCCGCCCGTGGTTTTGTGTACAGTTTTCAGGTGAGCATAGATACTGTACGGGAAGTGTAGTGATGGTTTGTCGTGGGCCCAGGCGGGTTGCGTCAGAGGGGTAAGTGGATTTGTGCTGGCCATTGAGTCGAGTTGTATTCCCAGGCAACCTCCGAGGTAGTCCGCGAATGGTCGCGCGGGGAGCAGGCCGCAAAAGTGAAGTAAGTTTGTTTGATGTTTGCAAAACCGAGGGTATTTAGTGCCCGTGATGACGGCTGCTGCTTGGATGAGTGCTGAGTTAAAGCGCTCGAACAGGGGGTCCAACGCATCCTTTCATACAGGCGGAGCCCAGGCAATAATGTTCAGCCCATATGTAGCCGTGGATAGGATGAATGTTCTGAACATCACCAGTCGGTTGCGGGGGTGTCGCCAGCTGAAGCCATGGAAGCCATAAGCGCGGAAAGAGGCGATACCCAGTGACAATGCTGCAACCAGGGATTCCATATGTCTGGCGAGGTTGATTCCTGGTACTCCGTGAGAGAGTGGGAACCCCAGATATTTGGAGTGTTTCGGTTCGGCATGTGTGGGCGCCATCTTCAGGGGGAGGTAACGTGTGTTCCAAGGTGCGTCTGCAAGCGTCGGCGTGATAAGCTCGCCATTTATACGGAGGGTTGGCGCCGCGTGTCGCAAGTCGGTAGATTGTACTCAGGGTTTAATGACACCCTGTTCGAGGCCAGATTTGCGTCCCCACGCATCAATATCATCTAAGAAGGGCTGGAGCAAACCCGTTCGAGGGGCTTGGATCCGTGTGTCATCAACAAATAAATAAGAGCGGAGGAGCTTGGGCCGAAATTGTGCTAGCGTGACAGCTAAGGAATCCATGTAGATAATAAAGAGCTGGGGGCCGACGATTGAGCCTTGGAATAGAGGCGAGAGCGTGCCGCGGTATGTCACTCGGGTAGGGACCCTCTCAAACAGCGCACGGAGGCAGTTGATCCAGTTTTCGGGCATTCCAGCGTGACGCAGAAGTACCCATAGGTGTGGAAGAGCGACCTTGTCGTATGCCTTGGTTATATCCAGACAGACGTCGTTCCACTCCTCTTCTGACTGTGTCTCAGATTCCATGGCGGCAAGTGCTTGGGTATGACAGGAGTACCGTGATTTGAAGCCAGCTTGGGTAGCATGGGTAGCAGAGCCGGGGTGGCTCGTAATCAGATTAAGAAAGCACTTTTCAAAGATGCGTCTGACTATTTGCGTAAGCGTGATGGGGCGGAAGTCGGCGGGGGAGGTGATATCAGCATCGGCTTTCTTTGGGTGCGCTGTCAGGAGGCTGCAGTTCAGGGCTGCAGGGAAGGTACCCGCCTTCAGTAGCTCAGTGAATGCTTCGGCAAGGAGTCTAATCAGTGGGCTATTGGCGTCGGGGCGTCCTAATGTCCGGCGTTCGGTAGAGCGCTCCACTGCGGCCTTCAGGAGAAGGAAGTGGATTCCGTTGGGGCCAGGTCCCTTATTGGGATAGCGTAGAATTGTCTCCATTACATCGTCGGGGCGTATGGTGGAAGTGACATCAGGAGAGGGTTTGGTATCCGGTGGAACCACGTACGGGTTTGTAGAGTTAAATAGGGCCTCAAAGTAGCCAGCGATGGTAGCGCCTGTATCATCGGTACCCGGTATGCAGGGTTGGCGCGGAGACCGTCGTTGGTACGCAATATCTTTGATCATTTGATCATTGCTTTGGGCGGTCAGACGTGGGCGGAACGAGTGGTTTGGCAGCCGCTGGACCCAGGGTCTGTTTAAGTCATAATAGAACCCTCCAACGATTTGTGGGTTAGTAG